GATAAAACGCATTCCTTCCACTGACAGTATATATATACAGGTAGGCACTCAGCACCTGGATGGAGAAAGAGAATTTAGACAAAACAAGGAAGATGCTGTGTTTTGAATATCGTCTCCAAACTTCATGGGTTAGAAAATTATTCCCCGGTGCAACGCTGTTAGGAGATGGGGGTCTAACAAGACATGATGGGATCATGAGGGGCCTGCTCATGAATGATTTAGCATTGTTATCACAAGAGTTGCTTAGTTATGGTGAGAATAGATATGCTATAAAAATGAATCCATCCCCCTGGTGCTCTCTCATTCTCAGGTTCTCCCCAGGTGATACATTCCATTTTGCTATAATGCAACAAGAAAGCCTTTGCCAGTTGCAGGCCTCATTGGCCTGGGATATCCCTGCCTCCAGATCTATAGGGAATGCATTTCTGTTCTTTACAAATTGCCCAGTCTGTGATATTCTGTTGTAATAATGGAAATGGAGTAGGACAGAAAGCAAACCTTACAGTTTTAAGATGTACAACTTAGGTCTTAAAGAAGCTCCTCTCTAGACTAACAGAAAGGATTCTTTATCCTTTTTATAAGCACAAGTTGCTAATTATCTAAAGGTAAGGAGGCCAAAAACTAGAGGTCAAGATGCCTTTGGACTGACTGAGGAATGTCTGCAGGCATAACTTGAGCACTTAAGGAGAAATTCTTGCCTGTACTATAAAAACCACTGTGGAAGACGGGTTCATGCTCCTGCCAAATGTACCCTCATTGGAACAGGATACTTATCCAATTGGATCATGAGTCTAGTTCCTCACAGTAATTACAGAAACAAGATTTGGTTTGAAAACATGAAATACCAGTTTTCCCATTTCAAATATGAGTCATATTAAAATTATTTTTATTAGCATCCCCTAGAAAACCACGGCATACCTTTGTGTTATTAATTGAAAATATATAAGCCTTTTAAAAAGTCTCTAACATAATTCTTAACATACCAGTGACTAAAAATGTGGCCCAATAGGTAAGGTACTACAAAGAGTTTACTTCTAAGATTTGAAAGACTTATGTTTTAATGGAATCTCCTTTGAAATAATGAAATTAAAGTTACACAAAGCCCAAACCTGAAATGACTGAAAAATAGGACACTTATTTAAAGTGGGGCTCTAAATATTCTTTAAATTCATGGATTTCACCAACTCCCGAGAGGAAAAAAAAATATATATATAAAAGATGATGCTACATGTTTGCTAGATGATTATAGTGCCAAAATTCAATAAGGGTCTACTGTTTTATAAAATCTATGAATAAATAAATAGAAAGAGAACAGGTTTCCAGAGACCCATTTCACATATTCTGACACATATTTTTGACCCAACTCCTGAGCATGGGGTTCGTTTATTTTACTTCACCTGGTTCCAGAAGCAAATTAAAGCAACTTACAAAATCACATAAATTAAGACTCCAAGTAAAATAAGTAAGAAGGGTGGAGATGAAAAATGAAGCCAAAAATGATGTGAAAAATGCAAATCACAAGACCTAATTTTGGTGAGAGGTGCATTTGGCTCTGGTTTTCTAGTTATCTTCAGCACAAAAGAAACATGGTTACAATGCCACAAAATAGGTACATTTGCTCAGAAAAAAACCATAACTTTTTTTGACAAAAAGAACAACCAGTATTTTTCAGTATTTTTATGAAGAAAATATTGAATGATTTAATAAGCCATGTCAAATGATACTCTTACTATGCACAAGGGTTTCATGGCTATTTCTTAGAGTAGTCTTCAATGAAGATATTATATAAAAAGTATTGTACTACAGCAAGATCTAATACATTATTTTAAGGGTCTGAGATTTTATCCTATGAGCAAACTAATATTCATTGTTCACAGATACTGGTTTGAGACACAAGACTCCTGTATTAAAGACAAAGGACAGTTTATTAAAATGCTATCAGTAGCCTGAATATTGTCATTTGCATCCCCTACCAGATATCCCAGCTCCTACAGGGAAACAAGGAGAATTACAGGAGATATGCCATGGATTGTATTATAGGAAAGGAACATCCTAGGAAATTTGAATCTTTTATGATGGGAAGTGACCATGAATTCTCTTTGTCCCAGAGAAAGACATTAGTTTTGTTATATGAATTAGCAAACAAAGTTCTATTTTCCAAGGTTATTTGCAATACAAGTACTCTTTTTTTTGGTACTGGGGATCAAACTCAGGATCTTGCACTTTCGAGGCAGGCGGCTGCACCACTGAGCTAAATCCCTGGCCCAACAATGCAAGTGTTCTTAAACATAGAACATAGGAAATCAGTTCCTCTGCTCATAGATGGTGCAGAAACAACTAGGGACCCTTGGAGAGTCGTCTTCCAATGACTACATTCCAGGTCATACTCAAGCTTATTTGGGGGATTAATCTAAGACTAATTTTTAGACTATTTGCAGGAATTGATGGATTGTGTCTCCTTTGATACTCTTCATATACTTACTGAATTCTTACATTCTAGACAAAGAAGGCAGTGATAAACAAATGAGGCATAGCCCCTGTCTTTAAAAAGGATTACAGATAAATACAAATATATTTTATGTGCTTTTCAAGCAGTTCTCTAAATGTTCCTTCAAGTTTTTTCAAAAGTGTTGCTGACAAGTAATTCAGTAGTCTGAATCTCACAAGTATCTGGAGCTTAGCATTTCCAAATAAAGGAGACACTGTGCCTGCAGGGATATTTGAACAGGGCTAGGGATGGCCTTCTCTAGTGAAGCTGAGAAACATAACAGTGTTGCATGGATTATTCTACAGTCATTATCTCCAATATACTCCTGGTCAGACATCAGTTTTTCCTTGAGAAGAGCCTAAAATCCTCCAATGACTGTGTGAACAAGGCCCTGAAGATTTATTCCATGTAAGCAAACACTTACAGTTCTTCTAGAGCATTTGCACGCCTCTTGTCTGGGTTGGGACTCTGACATGACAGAGGACTTCTTGTTCTTTGAGAAGGTGAAATGTCCTCTCTGAGACGATCCCTTTCTTCAAGCCATTACTTCTTCCTGCCTGATGAGAGCTCTAACACTATCATGGTCTCCCCCGAATGCTCATTTGTCCTACTAGCTAAGGTAATGCAACCATCTTTTCCTGACAACACAATCAAGGATTTACCTTCATTTAATTAGTTTCCATTTGGTTCCAAACTGCAAATAATGATGGCTAATGTGGATTGGACTTCATCTGCAGGCCATGCAGAGGCTGATTCCTGAATTCCACTACCTAACTCTCATAGCAGACTTTCACAGTTTTGAAGAGCTAGCCTTCCTTTCTATAGTTCTGCTGGATTTGTTCCCTCAGAAAACCTGCTGTTTCCTAACACTGTGGGCTCACTGGCTTAATTTGATGATAATGGCACATAGAAGCAGAACTCACAGGGCTAGCTGGAAGGCTTTCCAAACTTGGGATTGAGGGAGCTGCCTATTCAAGTAGAAAATCAGAAATGAAAAAGACCTGTTAAATAACCCAGTCCCTTCCGTAGTCAGTGCCAGAACATTCCTATGGTGAGAGTGTAGTCCAGGCCAGCTCTAAATGACTTTAACAATGTTCCTCCTTGCACTTTATTTGGAAGACAGGTTGTCTCTTCAATTTTTTCTTTTGATAAATTTTTTACCTAGAATTTTATTGACCAGTATTATTCCATTTCCCTCTTACTGGTTTTGTTTCAGCTATAGTAACCCTCTGAAATAAGCTATTTTCAGAGTCAGTACAAATTTATAAACACTTTATTAACCAGTCATTCCAGCAGTGTGCCTATATTTGGGGCAGTGTGATGTAGGAGGACAGGGCACACACTTGAACTGTAGAGGGAAATACACCAGGTTAGAATCTTATTTTATGTAATCAAGTGCTTTATTATTGTCATTTACCGTTATTGTTTTCAGCAACTGCCTTTTAGTAAATTTTTCCTGTGTGGCAGGAAATACTTTCTAAAACTTGTGTTAGCAAATTTATGAAATTGGTAGTGTCATCTCTACTTAAAAATTTAAAGTTTAGTAATTAAGAGTAGAAGTTCTGGGCTTAAATAACAGCTTAAAATGCCAGCTAGGTTGCTTATTAGCATTGTGACTGTGGGCCTTTGATTTCACTTCTCTGTACTCAGTTTCTCTACTTGTAAAATGCTTTTCTCATTTGTCATTTTGAAAAATAAATATCTTACTATGTATAAACTGATAAGACACATATCTGACATAGAGCAGGTACTAAAATGAAATCAATAATATAAGGAAGAGATTTGTTCACGGGCACCTTGGTAGTAAGTAAAATCAAAATTTAAAACTCAGTTAATTTTATTCCTAATCTGTCTAATTAGTCATTGGAATATACTAGCTTTGTCAGGACACTTGACTTCTTTGAGCCTCAATTTTTCTCACTGGTAAAATGGGGATAACACCATAGCACCTGCATAGCCACCATATCAAATGCTATTGTAGGGCCCAGCCCAGAACAGGGCTCAAATGACAATAGGGCCATCTCTTCATCTCTACATCCATACCTACAAAATATATGTGTGTTATATCCTCCATGCAAGCTGAGGATTTGCTCTTAAATGATTCTCATAATATTGGAACTGCAGTGTAGTTCAAAGTATATTTTTATGAGTTTACTCCCATTTAAAAGGACTGGATTGATTTACTAAACAATTTAAAAGTTTCCTTCCTAATAAGGTTTTATTTTATATTCTTAACGATCTGAGAGTTTTAAGCATGTATTTTCCAGTTTCTTTAAAACAGTTCATCAAATATTTCAAAATTGCCTAAATATTTTCTTTCCTAATATATAAAAATATAATTGGCCATAATTTCAATCTTTATATAATAGAAGAAAGAAAAGAGATAGTTTTAACTTCATACAGGGAAATGTATGTTTTTGCTGTTGTGCCTGTGTGTGTGTATGTGTGTACGTGGGAAAGGGTGTGATGTCATCTTGTCTCCACCCCCTGTGAGTAAGCCACAGCACGGCTAAATGCAGCCGCCCGCCTCTGTCACTGGAAGACAGTCCACTTAAATGCAGCTCCAGAGTTGCGAGGCACCCACCAGCATCACTCTCTGTGCGAGGTGGCAAATACAACATGCTCTCCAGCTTGGGGTGTCTACTTCTCTGTGGAAGTATTACACTTGCCCTGGGAAATGCACAGAAATTGCCAAAAGGCAAGTAGCTCTGATGTTTATGTTTTAAAACTAATTTTGAGAGATGCTTATTTTTAACTGTTGATATTAAATATAATCTGTTTAACCATGTGGGGGGAATAGGGTTATTCTGTAGAAAGTCAGAGTTCAAATGTGCGAAGGGGTTACTTAAACTTTTACACCCACCCTGTTATTTACTTTTAAATTTAAGCTCTTTATTGCAAAAATGAAAAACAACTTCTTGCTATGTTCATAGGAACTTGAATGGTATAGTGTAAGTGGGCACTGTTGTTTCTTAAAAAGACTTATTTGATGTTTTATCTCCCATCCCCAGAGACTAATCTTGTACTAGTTTAAGAGTTAAAGGAAGTTAATTCTGAAATCTGGAATCCTTGGCATAAACCTCCTACTTTTGAGTAGGAGGCTGAGGGAGTTGAGATAGGTCAGACCAAAGTTCGGTCAGAGCTAAGTAGTAGATGCTGTGGAGTTCCAAAGAGAGTTTTTATCTGCTGAAAGGACACTCCCCCTTCAACTGGCTAAATTGCTCTTATTTTAGTGTTGGTATTTTGTTCATAAATGTCATTAAAAGAAAACTAAAATTTCTAAATTTAGACCCTAAAACAACCCCCTTGAGACCATCAGCACTGAAAAAAGAGGCTCTTGCCTCTCTCCTGTCTTTAAACGTAAATGTTACATGTACTTTTGTTGCTTTGCAGAGATACTTTTCTAAGCCAACTCTAGGTCTGTAAAGGCTTGTTATGGCTGCAGATTGCTGTAGTCATCAGGATTATGAAAAACAGGCTGGAATTTACCATACAGTTATGATGGAAAATATTGGAGATAATACAGAGCCACAAGCTTGTCAAAAACCTAGCGTGCATTGAATCAGAAGGAAAAGTTGTTAGTGCCTGAATAGTCAAAAGATCACTGGTAGCTAGCTCCTCTCTCTAGATAGTTCACTTCAGGATCATCTTATCTCAAGTGAAAACTGTTCTTTTCTCACTGGGTAAGGTGAAACTTGAATCCAAAATGTGAGAGCTGAAGCATTTGGCTAGACGACATTTCACATGATGATGTGAAAAAAAAAAAGGCTAAGTAATCTCCACTTAGCTCAAATAATTACGCAAAGAAAAAGAAAAACACTATTACATTTCTTCCTTTTACCAAGAATTTTCTTGATCATAGTAAAGAGATTTAAATAAATCATGAACCACAAGCATTCAGAATTAATTGTTCATTTTGAAGAAATATATAATCACAGCATACCATTTAAAAGGAGTCTGGGGTTTTTCTCAATCTCAATACCTGTAGATGATTTTATTTTACTTTGTATTCACTGTTTATGGGATGATAGTCAAAATTTGGTTAGTGCAAACCTCTGCAAATTTCAAATGCTTGAATTATAATGTTGCAATCACTGAAAACAGATGTCTCAATACAATTTGTCTCTTTTTGTAATAGTAAAGAAAAAACAAACCACTTAGTGGTCAAAAATGGCCATAAATTGTATCTATTTCAATGCGTTTTAATCTGAAATGTTTCATCTTTGCTTCTTTTGTAGATTTAAAAAATATTTACAGTTTTGGTAATTTGGAAAAACCCATCAAATTATAATAATTATAAAAATAAATGACAAGCCGCTTTGTTTATAGTAGTACATTTTCTCTTTATTTTGTAAGCTATTGAGGAACTTTCTTTTCTCTAAGTCACCTTTCTCAAACTATGTTCTAGGAATTAGGTACACTGACTAGAGTGGTGTTCAGGGAGAGGTGATAATTGCTTTTTCAATAATTTGGGAACATTTGATTGCTTTGTTTTAGGTGCAAACTCACAATAGATGTTAGCATTTCACAGGTTCTGAACATTTCTCAGTAATGAAAACTGTTCAATCTTTTAGCTCATTGTTCTTCAAATTCATTTGATTGAGAATTCCTCTTTTAGTAAAAAAGTTATAATATCTAATCAAGGATTTCTGTGTCACAGCACAGATTTGAACAAATACTGGGCTAAAAAAGAAGACAGAGGATAAAAGGCTTTTCTTTTTTTCTACCTTCAAACTTTAAAGTTAGTTAAATACTATTTGTAATTTCAAAAGAGGATACAATTTTGATTACCTAGTCTAGTGGTTCCAAGAAATTTGGATTTGTAGACTAGTAAGAATATATACGTATTTTAATATCAGGTTTTCACTGTAGGGGTCATACCTGAATTTTGTCATGTGAGGATGCTCAAAGTTAGAGGAAATTCCCACAGTTCATAAGAGCTAGCTATTTTAGCAGGTTTATAAAATAAATGAGTTAAACTACACAAATAAGTTCCTTGTCCTTTTTCTTATTTTGTCACAGATGGATAAAACTTGATCACAGGCCAATATTTGGAAACCACTGGCCTAGTTTATTTATTTTATAACTGAAGACACCCAAGGGACAAGGAAGTTTACTAATTTTCCCCTGTTAATGGCACTGCCAGGTCTGAATGCTGGGCTTTGGATTCAAAACCCATGTTCTACCCTGTTTTCTACCTGATAAGCAGGCTTGCCTGACCCAAACCTAAGGAATCACATTCTGCAGGGTAGGTGAGAATGCTATTCTTCCCTTCAATAAAATTGTTTATCCTACAGCTTCTAATGATCACCTTAATTTTTATATTTTCCTAAGAAAATGTCCACATTTTATATACTTAAATTTGATTGCTTATAATCGCTTGTTACATGCCATACACCCAATTGCATACCTTGCCAAGTGCCTTATTATACAAAATAAATTACAAGATTCTTGGTTACTTTTTAAAAGCCTAAAGGAGACTGTTATTAATGTAACTTTCCTCCTATTCACCTCTTAATGACTATGTTCTTTGGAAAATTATTTACTTTTGCTAAGTCTAATTTTCTCATCTATAAAATGGGCAAAATAATATCTGTCTTAGAGTAATATATTTTAGATTTAAATGAAACAGATGCAAAGCTTTTTGTAAAGGGGCTGACTTATAACAACTATTCAATAAATTTTTATTAAGTCCTAAAAAAGTGGCTCAATGTTGAAAATTATGCACACCAAATAATGTATGATATTTTATCCAAACTATAAGACAAATCTCTTATAAGGCAGCAAATAATGTTCTTGGTGGAAAAGTGGGATCAGATCATTAAGTGTAGTTCTATATGACAATAAGGGAAGACATCTAGTTTTCCAGCCTGGCCACCATCTGCCCACATGGGCAAACATTACCTTGCTAGGGAAGTTGTAACTTTTGCCTTAGGATCAATTTTTGTGTCAGGATTTGTAAGACTCCATGGGTCTTCTAGGTGAGATCCACTTGAAGTTGACTTTCAGGAGGAAAACTAGACCACAAGATGCAGGCCCTGGAGGAAAATTACACTGTTTTATACCTTGGGAAGTTCCTGTGCTCCAATTACCTTGTGGAATCTTTATTTTTGGCACCACAGAATTTTTGTCACCCCTGGTATTCATGCTAAAATAAAAGCCACAGAAAAATATGGAATGAAGGAAGACAACAGAATCTTATATTTAGACATCAGAATGTATATATACATTATATATAATATAAATCTTATATTTAGACTCCTCATACCTCTGTGCTGAAATTTTTATGTCTGAAAGATTATAATTACTCTGAAAGTAAAGGATAGTCATACTGGGCAGGTCTGTCACCTACTCCAAAGCATGTGTGAGGAAAACCACAGAGGAAACTCCAAGATACCAATATAATCATATGGCCAGAGGGCATGAAAATCTTAGGTGTGGTTCTTGGCATAGGGCTGTGCAAATGGAAAGCTGGCTTTTGTGCTTAGGATTTTTTATCTAAAAGGGCATAAATCCTTGACTCTAGGGATAAAAACAACAAAAACAAAAAACATGGGGACATATGACATAATAGTAACCAACATGGCTATCAACTACTACCATTACTGTTGTCATAGACAACATTCTCTGGTGTATACTGCATGTGGTATATTAGTGCTATTTTTAATGTGGAAAATCCAATTAAATTTCTCAAAGCCCCTCTATAAAGCAGTTTTCTGATTTATATTGATGGATTTTATATTGATAGGTCTGACTCCCTGCCTGCCCCATCCCAACCCCAGCCACTGGAGTTCCTGGAAAGGCTGATTCACAGCTGCCTGAGCTGGGGAACAAAGCCTACTCTGCTAGGACAAGGCACAACTGCCCCACCTGCTAGGTCACAGTGCTTGTATCTATAGCCACATACTCAGTAGTTCTCACTCCCCCAATCTCATGACCCCCTTCATGTCACTCTATGTGAGCCTGTCCCACTAACCCTCCTACCCTATTCATAAAAGACCTACCTCAATAAACTGGACTTGGACTTTCCTTTGGATTTACTTCAGGAAATCCCACCTGGAACCCCAAATTCAGGCTGGCTGTGTTCTTTAGTGGGATCATCACCATTTACCTAACATATACAGCGCTAGATTTTGACTCCAGGTATTTAAATAATCTGCCCCAAATCACACAACCAGGGTAACAAAAGACCCTACCCTTAATTCTGATATAATATTAGTAACCCACTCTATGTAAAGATGTATTTATTTGTTTAAATAATACATCAATGTGTCTCTCTCATAACCCAGACCTTTTCTCCAAGGATACCTATTACTTGTGAGGGACTGAGGAACATCTTTTCCTTTTTAAGGCAAGGAAATTGGGACAATAATAGAGGAAGATGCAAAGTCTAGTGGATGGAGTTTTCATTTATTAGAATAAAATATAGTTATGTATTGCCAGTACTGTATTAAAGAGTACATAAGAGGAAATGGTTCCACTGCTTAAAAATTTTCACAAGACTATGGGAGAATTATTTTAGCATTTTTTATAGCTTTATAGTTTCTTGGCAGATTTATTGATGTTTGTTTATTCAAGCATTGATTATTGACATCTACTAAGTAAAAATGAAATACAGCTGTCCTATAAAAGAACTTTGTACTAGGGATATAAAGTATATATATATATAACTTACTTAGATGCTAACTTTAGAAACCA